CTCCGTGTCCCCAGGCTCCGACCCCATGGCTCTGCTCTGTGGGTTCCGACCCACAGCTGTGTGATCCCACACTTCTGTGCTCTATAGGGTCAGTCCCAGCCCACTGATGGGATTCTGTGCTCTATAGGGTCCTTTCCACCCCCCCCTCCCGCGATCCCATGGCTTTGTGATCCATAGGGTCCCTCCCACCCCAATGATGTGCCTTTGTGCTCTATAGGGTCCCTTCCAATCCACCCACACTGCGATCCCACAGTTCTGTGCTCTATAGGGTCAGTCCCAGCCCAGTGATGGGATTCTGTGCTCTATAGGGTCTTTTCCACCCCACCCCCTCTGCAATCCCATAACTTTGGGATCTATAGGGTCCCTCCCAACGCAATGATGCGCCTTTGTGCTCTATAGGGTCCATCCCACCCCACCCCCACTGCGATCCCATAACCTCGGGATCCATAGGGTCCATTCCAGCCCAATGATGGGACTCTGTGCTCTATAGGATCCAGCCCAGCCCACTGATGTGCCTTTGTGCTCTATAGGGTCTGTCCCACCCCACTGATGGGATTCTGTGCTCTATAGGGTCTGTCCCACCCCACTGATGGGATTCTATGATCTATAGGGTCTTTTCCACCTCACCTCCTCTGTGATCCCATGGCTTTGTGATCCATAGGGTCCCTCCCACCCCAATGATGGGATTCTGTGCTCTATAGGGTCTCTTCCACTCCACCCACACTGCGATCCCACAGTTCTGTGCTCTGTAGGGTCAGTCCCAGCCCAGTGATGGGATTCTGTGCTCTATAGGGTCCTTTCCACCCCACCCCCTCTGCGATCCCATAACTTTGGGATCCATAGGGTCCCTCCCAACGCAATGATGCAATTCTGTGCTCTATAGGATCCAGCCCAGCCCAATGATGTGCCTTTGTGCTTTATAGGGTCTGTCCCACCCCAATGATGGGATTCTGTGCTCTATAGGGTCCCTTCCAATCCACCCACACTGCGATCCCACACTTCTGTGCTCTATAGGGTCTTTTCCACCCCGCCCCCGCTGCGATCCCATAACTTTGGGATTCATGGGGTCCATCCCAGCCCAGTGATGGGATTCTGTGCTCTATAGGATCCTTTCCACCCCACCCCCTCTGCGATCCCATGACTTTGGGATCTATAGGGTCGGTCCCAGCCCAGTGATGGGATTCTGTGCTCTATAGGGTCCTTTCCACCCCAAGCACTCTGCGATCCCACACTTCTGTGATCCACGTGATCCTCCCAGAACAGTGCTGCGATTCTGTGCTCTTTAGGATCCAGCCCAGCCCAGTGATGGGATTCTATCCTCTATAGGGTCTTTTCCCCCCGCTCCCACCGCGATCCCATAACTTTGGGATCCTTGGGGCCCCTCCTGCAGCTGGGCGCCGCGTTTCCCGCATTGCTGCGCCCTGAGTCAGCGGCTGCAGCGCTGCGCCCTGCGGCGGCCGGGGGCCGGGGGACCCCGAGGGGCGGCGCTGCCCCACGGAGCTGCGGGTCTATGGGGCACCGGGGGGGGGGAGATTCTGGGGGGGGGCAGACGACACGCAAGCCGTGGGAACGGCGCTGTGGGTGCCGTGGGGGGGCGTCCGCCCCGTCCTTGTTACAGAGGAGACCGAAA